TCTGCTGCTTCTTTGTTTTTGGTTCGGTGGTTGTGATATATCCTGGTGTTTTCTTTGCTGTAAAGACAGACAACGCGTGGTACACCACGATCATTGTTACAATGTTCAACGTTGGTGACTTTGTCGGGCGGTTTGCCCTCATGTTCAAGCGTCTGCAGCCATCACCTCGTGTTGTTGTGGCCGGTACATTCCTGCGACTTGTGGTCATCCCACCGCTGGTGCTGTGCGTGCGCGGCATTATTCCTGGTATTGCCCTACCGTACATACTGTGTTTGATCTGGGGTCTCACGAATGGTTACTTTGGTGGCATGGCGATGATCTATGGACCGCGTACGCCATCGCTGACAATGGCAGGCCAGCGCTCTCTTGCTGCTATTATGGTCGAATTGTCGCTGCTGCTTGGTCTGTTTATCGGGTCATCATTGGCCCTTGCTGTGAAGGAAGGATTTCCAAAATAGGCCTGCTGACTAACAATGTTGGCCGTAGTGTGGGTGCCAGAGAGCAAGAGTAGTATTCTGAATGGCATTCGCAAGTATAGGTATATGTTCCGTGTGTATGTTTATTTATTTATTTAAGCTGCAGCGACAGAGTACCTATACATACCTTCCCACAGACACACACACCCTTGTTGATATTGTTTGTGTGATTTCTTTTGGGACATCCTATTTTACCGTTGACAGACAAATATTTTTCTCCCTTTCCAAGAGATATTTTTTATTTACTGATTTTCGTTGACTTTTTTTTTCTCGGAAACTACCTTTCTCCCTGATTTTACGTTAAAGCTTTTGGGGCTATTTCTGTTGATGTTAATTCCACTAGCTTGTATTAAGAAGATGCCCCTGCATAGTGTTTTTAAGGGTTATTTTTCGATGTGTTTTTTCAATTTTACTTTTTCTTATATTTTCTGTCAGCTTGCGAAAAGAATGATCGAGTCTTACTGTATGTTAGTGAACAAGTTCTGTACTGGGGTTTTAACATTTGGGTGAATGAGTTTTCTTTCCAATCTTACAGTTCTGTCAATCGTAAGTTTCTGAAAAGCCCACCCAACCCAACCCACTCCGCCACGAGCGGGAAGCGGGCTAAAAGGGGCCTCTCAGCACTTCCATTTCGTAAGTTCTTAGGATGTTTTTCCAATAGTATAACCGTCTGGTAAAATACAATTTATTTTTTATATCATGGGGTTGCAATCCATGGAGGTCAAATACGGGGTTTTCTTTGTTCATCTGTTTTCTTGTTTATGGTAGAAGTAAGGCTAAGATTATTCGGGACTTTTTTTTTTGGGGGGGGGGTGTGGAGGAGGGTAGGGGCCCTCCACGGCTGAATTCTTTATAGAACCTACGTTTTTGGTTTTTTCTTTTTTCCGTTCTCTACTTTTGTATTACTTCCTTGTGGGGTGTCTTCTGAGATATGGAGATAGGAATCTCCCTTTTCGTAGGTTCAACGAGGGATTTCTCGAAAAGAATAATGCGGTAAATTGTTAGTGTATTTTCCCTCTTTTTCTGTTTATTCATTTCTCGCTCGTAGTGCGTGCGAACACAGTGTATCTTCTTGTTTTTGTTTACTATTTTTCTATTAATTAAGCCTGGCCACATCAGAAACTGTTTTTTCTCTGTTTCCTGTTTTCCCCACCGTATTTGCCTTGGTTGGTGGTTGACAGAGCGATTTTCTTTGCTTGTGTGTGTGTCTCCTTGTTTTGATCTTCTCTTGCAATTTTTTCCCTTTTACTGTCTGTCTCTTCTCAAAGGTAAATCTCTGCTCCGTAACAGT